TTTGTTCCTGGTATTGGAGTGCTCCTTGCAACCAATCCCCTCAATCACTCTTTATCTTCAGCAGAGAGGTCTTCAAGAAACACACCTTTGGTACATGAAAGTTTATCATATACATAATATATCATTATCTCATCTAGATTTTATTTATGGACAAGAAATGACACAAGGTCACCAATGCCTGGTGATCTGGGCCAACCAGTAAAAATCCTTAATTCTCACTAATCCTATGGTCATAGTTGCACAGAAATTTTCTGAGATTTCAGGTGGCTTAGTGTCATTCTAACCTGTTCTGTGCCCACCTTATGTGGTATATGAGATTACTTTGAGGTAGTAAAGATACTAATAGCTTTCATATGCTTGATCTATGCCTACCAAACTTTTCAGCTTTTAGGCTCACAATATTTCCTTATCAATAGCTTTTAACTTGCATGCACATCATCCTACAATTTTTGCTATTAATGACAATACAAAAGATAGAGAAAAGAAATGCAAAGGTCTTCTTGGGGTGGGAAAGGGTCAACCAAGAATATTCGATACAAAATTAAGGATGAGGCCCTTGAAAACCAAGAATGCTCAATGCCAAAAGTCATAATGTCCAAAGAATTATTTAAAATAGAGGGAAAAAAATCTTACCGCTTCCTACTTCTGTGTATCTTATTTAGAAGAGAGACATTTCTTATCACTTCTCACTTAATAGTTCACCACTTCTTACCCAACAGATAGAGATCTAGGAGGCTGCTTCCATACTTTTTTTTTTTTTAATTTTTTTCTGGCTTTTCTTTTTATTAGAATTTGCAGGATTTCCTTCTCACTGGCACTTCATAAGTGAGCAGTGTCCAGCCAATGAAGTCATCCTATTCTCATCATGCAACAATTGGGGAAAGGATGAGACAACCTAGGTAAAAGAAATTATGAGCCCATAGATCCTGTTTGAACAAGAGAACTAAATCGTGGGTTGAGGAGCCCTGCTTAAATTTGGTCCACCACCTTGACCATAGAGTGCCATGCCAGACAGAAAGTATTACATCCTGACTAGATTATCTTACAATTTCTTGATAGGAGAAGGTCAAGTGCCTGCATGAGCAGCTGAAATATAGCCCATCTGCACATGCCCAGGCAGAGCCCAACTCAAAATAAACTATGATACTGTTCTGCCCCACCTTGTGGACCTACTCTTTAAATATCTCTTCCTAAGTCCCTTCCAGTAGCTAGGCTAAATTTTTTCTGGCACTGGTTCCTTCATTCATGAGTCTTCAGTAAAACCTTGCCTGGTTCAGCTACACATAGCAGTCTCTGATGAATTCTATCCTTAGAAGGCAAAGGACCAACTCTTTAGAATCAAAGCCTGTGACAGGGATACATTCCCACTTCCCTTCTAGTGAAAAGTTGACATCTCTAAAGCCATCTAAAAATGGAGTTGATCAGACATTACTGAAAAATTGCATTACAGGTCTCCTTGAACTGGGTCAAAAGTAGCTATTTTAAGAAAGCATCAACCAAACAAGTGGTAAGTCATGTTGATAGAACTGAAAATTTTGGACTTTTAGCTAAAGGATAGATTCAGTCCTTTCATTCCTTCCAGTGAATTAATAATCAATTATGTATAGCCAAGTGTAGTTGTTTTTTTTTATTTTGTACCTGAGGTAATATTGGGCTACCCCCATAAAGTATTGCCACCACAGTGAGTCCACCACCAACTCAACTGTACTACACCACCACAGACCATTATGTCTCCCTCCCTCCCTGTTTTTCCCCTCCCTCACCTTTCCCCCTTCAGTGTTTCAGTTCTATAGTCAGCTATCAAAGGTTAGTTTTTCAGCTTGTCTTTATCTGACTATTAATTTAGTTGCTTTATATATCATATATTAGTGACTCTATCCAATATCTTTCTCCTACTGACTTATTTTGCTAAGAATAAGTTTGTTAATACTAAACAACTTTTTTAAACCACTTATTTAACCTTCCTCTTTTCTTCCTATAAAAAAACCTGATTTTGTCCTGTGGGGAGAATTTTAGGTTTTCTAACTGAATGTGTTTACACTAAATTACAATTCTTAGATCCCAAATAAATGAGCTTTGCTTTAATTGCCTCCCAAATTTTTAGATGACATTATCAAATTTTGGACTAATAATCAAATAAACATCAGACAGATTGATCAGAGAAAAGAAAGTTTAATAACAGGTGTACCTTCTGTAAACATGGAGAAACCCAGTAAAATTGAGTAAATAACCAATATGGTTTAAACCATCTCTTCAAATAATTTTAGCTAAAGACAAGAGGTATTTTGGAGGTATGCAGTTAAGTTAAGCCATGTGAGGGCTCTAGGAAAGATCCAGCAAATGAGGGTATGGCTGCTATGCAAATTTAAGTTGCTGTCTTCTCTGTTGATAAGATTTAAACAGCCTTCCTGCTAAGAGGGAGATCAGTTGAAGAGATCAGGTCTTGTGAGTACAGTGAGAGATACATCCTACACGAAAAAGATTTTCCTTTATACATTTATCTATTTTAGAATAGTGTGACCTCCACCCAGCTTTCAGAGCCCGTCTTATGAAATAATCTTTATGCCAAAGAGATATTTTGGTGGTATAGATTTTGTTGACCTCCAGGCTCAACTTTGAATCCAGGATGGGCAAGTGAGAATTCATAGTCAAAGGGTCAGTCAATGGAAAATTAGAAAGTATTAGAAAATAAACTGAATAAATTTAAATTTTTTTGTTTATTAAACAAGACTTTTATAGAGCAGGCACAAGGAAGTTATATTAGGCAAAAAAAAAGTGGGTAGATTATTTCAAGAATGGGGTCCTTTGGATTACCGCATGGGTCTATCAGGTAAATTACTCATTTAAGGTTCCATTTGTGGGTAAGCTGAAAATATAATTAAGTCTTGGTTTGTTGGCACAGGGCTTGGTATAAGTGTCTCCAGTGGAGACACGATTTTTCTTCAGGGTGATTTTGTTTTTTTCTTTTTAAAATAATTTTTTATTTTTTACATAATTGTTCATTTTTAAACAATATTTGCCTCCTCCCGCCCCTTCAGGTGTAGTCCCCATAGAATTTCCTTCACCAATGCACCTGTGCACCATCACCTCAGTCCCCTGTGTTCCTCCCTCCCTTCCTCTGATCCCTCTCCCTCCTCCTCCCCTGCAGGATGTCTCTGATTTTTAATTGTTTTTGCTTTGTTGTGTTTTGTATTGTGATTATTATTTTACACTGATGTCTAATTTGGTTCCCCTATATTCCTGCTACAAGTGAAACCATCCATTTTTCTTTTTCCTTCTGACTTACTTCACTGAGCATAATGCCTTCTAGCTCCATCCACATTGCTGCAAATGGCATGAGTTTATCTTTTTTGATTGCTGAATGATATTCCATTGTGTATATGTACCACATCTTGATCCAGTCATCTATTTTTAGGCATTTGGGTTGTTTCCAGGTTTTACCTATTTTAAATAATGCTGCAATATTCATAGGGTACAGGTATTCTTTTGAATCAATGTTTTTGTGTCCTTTGGGTAGATCCCTAGGAGTGGAATTGCCGGGTCATATGGTAGCTCCATTTGTAGTAGACTGAGCTTTCCATAGTGGTTGGACCACTTTGCACTCCCACCAGCAGTGTAGAAGAGTTCCTTTTTCATCAGGGTCTTTCTGCACTTGATCTTAGCCAAAAGGCTGAGAAGGGATCATTGGAGATTCTGAATAGCCTGACCTAGTAGAATTCTTGCTGAAGGTAGGTCAGGGTGATCAGACATCACCTGAGGAAGGAGGAACCTGATTAAATATCAAGGGAGACAGATATGGAGAATGGCCAAAATGATTTAGTAGGAATCTTGCTAAAACTGTACAGTGTGAATCAGGAAGTCCAAAAGTTGGGATCTAATTGAAAGAGACCTCAGATGAACCTCAGATGAAGTGTGGTCAAGGAGAAAATCTTTGTCATTTCATTTCGATTAAAATTTAAAAATCAATATTGGACAACAGAGCTAAAATTTTCTAACTCTTCATGTTTGCTTTGAAGAATACCTGGTATGCACAATTATGGTATACGAACAAGGAATCGTCTTAACCTGAAGCCAGATGATTTCCATAAGCAGCACATTTGTTTGGTAAAAGATAATTTGTTCTTTTTTTAAAGGCAACACTAATTTTTAAGCTTTGTAACTTAAAAAGAGGCATTCTCCCAAACTTTGGGAGAGGCTGCTTCTCCTATTGCTCTAGTGATTTATTTGGTACAAATAACCCATCCATCTTCGCTAGCTGTTGTCAGGGTTGGTCTATATTTTACGAAGGTTGAGAAATTTGTTTCAAAGTTGGACACACCCTATTATGGCGCAGCGGTTGAGCGCCAGGTTGCGAAGCTGCCCGCAGCCTCTGCAGCGCGGGTTCGATCCCCGGCTGTTCCCGGGCCACCGGAGGAGGGTCCCACATGGCGCGCGACCTCTCCTGCCGCCCGCTGCTCCCCTCAACAGTGTACTTCGGTCCTTCTGCCTGCTCTGCTCCCCACTCTGGCTCTGGTGAATTCTCTCCCCCTCCCACGCTTCTGACTGTACTCAGTGCTTGGATAAATAAATAAATAAAAATAAATCTTTAAAAAAAAAAAACTAAAAAAACCTGCCTAAAAAAAAAAAGAACTGTCTAAAAAAAAAAATAAAACCAAGGAGAAAAAGAAACGAGGTAATTAGGAGGTGGTTTCTCTTATTTTTCAGGGGACCATCTCGGCCAGCTCTACTTCAGCAAAGTGGTATTCCTCCCTCTGGCCAGGTCCCCGCGTGCCCAGGGGCAGCCCACTTATGGGCCAGACTCCAACCAACTGAGCTTCTCCGTGGCCCTCTTAGCCCCGCCCCCTCTGCACCTGGGCGCCCTCCGGACCACGCCTCCCCAGAGCGCCCCGCCCACAGAGCTTCTCCGCCCAGCGCCGAGTCGGCGCGCTGACGTCGGACGCTCCAGGTACTTTCCCCAGAGCTGGCCAGAACGCCGTGGGGGCGGGGCGGAGCGCGGAGCGCGCATGCGCCGCAGCGCCAGCGCGCTCCCCGGATCGTGCGGGGCCCGAGCCTCTCCGCCGGCGCAGACTCCGCTCGCGCCAGCTGGCTCCCGTCGCCATGTCTGCCCCCGTCGAGCGGGAGTTCGAGGAGCTGGATACTCAGAACCGCTGGCACCAGCTGTACTTGGTGAGTCGCGGGTTCACACGTTGACTACCGTCCTCCCCCGAGGAGCCAGGCTGGCGCTCGCCTTCGCCGGCTCCCTCCCGCCTCCCCCGCCTCCCTCTCGGGCGGAAGTGGCGGCGCGAGGGCCGCGCCTGCGCCGACCGCGTCTCTCGCCCCTTCCAAAAAACCCTCAGAAGTGGGTGCTGGTCGCGGGCGCAGGCGCAGAGCCCGGCTGGGGGCGGCGCCCCGCGGCCGGCGCGGACTGGGCTTCGGGTCCCAGTGGGGGGTCTGGCGGGGAGTAGGGCGGGGACCGGTGACTCCGGCGGGGACCCCGGGGGCGAAGGGTGGGGGCGAGGAGGCCGCGGGCTCTGCTCCCGCGCCGGCCCCCGGACACCCTGGTGTGGCTGGCGGTGTGTTCTGTGACCCAGCGGGCTGGGGGCGGCCGGGCCTGTTTCCGAGCGTCGCCCCGGGTTGTCTGCGGTGGAAGGTCCTGGGGCTTCTCGGAATGGCCGGGCCGAAACCGTGGCGGCGGCCAGAGCGCCCGCGGGGCCGCAGTCTGCGACTCAGAGTCTCGGTGTGTGGGTTTTCTCCACAAAGAGCTCGCAGGAACAAGGGCATAGTCTGGTGTAGTAGTTAAAAGGAACGGTAAGGGCAATCTTTAATTTTCTTTAGTGAGGTGTACTTTAAATAGACTCCTCAGATTTTAAGTGTGCAGTTAAGACACACAAATGGATACACCTGTGCGAAATTCCAGCCCCGTCCGCCACTCCAGGGACTCTTGCCCATCCCCAGAGGCCACTACTTTCCTATTTTATTTTAAGCACCAAAGAATAATCTTGCCTTCATATGAAAGGATTCTTGTGCTCCACCCCACAGGCTACTACTTTTCTAATTTTTTAAATCACCATGGAATAATCTTGCCTTCATATAAAAGGAACCTTGTAGCTAGCTTCTTTGGATCTACTAGAGAACCTTTTCATTCAAACAGAACTTTATCTTTTGAAAAAAGATATTGCCTGTCCTCTACTAATTAATTATTAGCTTGTTCTTTAGATCGAATTGATGCATAGTGAGCTAAATGCTGCTTTTGCTGTTCGGTTCACTTGGTTCAGAAAAGGGGAAAAAAAGGACTTTCCTGTAAATCTAGATGATCTTGGGTTTTCCCCACTCCATTTAATTAGATGGCAGTTAAAAAATCTTTTCTTTGTCATTATGTTCAGAATATGACGTTTTCTCCTTGAACATACTATGAAGAAGCGTGATAAATACCCTCATTCACGCAAGCACAGAATATGTGAGAATAGGGTACTAACTTTAAGTAATGCTGGTAAGTACTTTTCCGATTATAGAAAATTTTAAATGAAAATTTAGTAGGAATCTGTTTGAGACCTTCAAGCTGTGTCCTCTCCAGTTACATTTATTTTAGCAGAGGCTACTAGCCACATATCAAAGTATAGATTTGAGAAGAGAAAGATGAATACTATACTTGGTTAAGGTTAACATTGACATTTGGTTAAGCAGTTTGATTTTTTGTTGTTAACATTAATATCTTTGAAAATACCATAAAAATTATAATCCCTCTTACCTAGAAGAATACACTGAAAATGTAACATTTTTTTCAGGAAACCCATGGGTCGATGTCTAGTAATTCTTTAGTGAGTATGGTCAATGCTTTTTGCTTTTTTTTTTCCTTAATAGAAGAACAAGAGAATTAATTTAGTTAGTAGAAATCATGTGATATGCAGTGGTGTTAGAGTAAAAGTAGGTCACAACTTGGAAAGTTAGTAGTGGAAAAGAGGTGCAGAAAGTTTAGAATGCTTTCCTTTGATTCTAGAATATCCACTTAGCTATTGTACGGATATGTACTGAACACCATTGGCACACCAGCCCCTGCTCTGAGCTTGGAGACTGAGCAAAGAATGCCACAAACAGAACAAAAAGTTCTGTTCTTGAGAGCTCATATTCTAGAACTTTTTCTCTGAAAGGCCTCATTGCAATTTCATTCATTCATTCATTCATTTATTCAACACCTGGTAAGTGCAAGTGTTAGACTGATGTTGCTCTCAAGGATCCAGCTTGGTGAGGAGTGTTAAGTCAACAAGTAGATGAAGACATAAAAGTAATAAATGCAAAAGTAGTGTCGAGCACGCCTCTGTATTCCTCACAGGCGTGCATCTGGAGTTCTGAAGCTTCCTGAAGGAAGGCGGACCTTTCCTGAGTCTTGAAGAACATGTTGGCTAGGTGAAATGAGGATAAAGGAGGGGAAGAGAGTTAGCGTTCCAAAGAATGAAGAAATGCGTACAAATAGATCAAATGGCATGCCAACAGAACAGCCAACAGTTTTAACCTGATGCGGTGGTGAGGGCCTGAAGACAAGGTTGGAGAGTAAAGCAGAGCGCACAAGGCCCTGGTAGGTTGAACTAAGGAATTTGAAATAGTTGGTAGGGACTCTGCAAGGCATTTTAAGCCTGCAAGAATTATATTCCTATAAACTTGTTAGCAAGTTATTGTACCATTGGGTTGGATGAGGCTAACAAAGCAGAGAGCACAGGGAAGTAGTCTGTTGCAGTAAATCTGAAGGGAATTGATGGCAGTGGCATACTGAATGGAGGCAGTAACAGGGGTAATAGGAGATACAAGTTGAAGTATTAAGGTGATAGAATTATTTGGTTTTCAGATCGTTCAGTTTGAGGTACCTTTAAAACGTTGTAATGGGAATAGTTCAATATACAAATTTGGAGTTCAGGAGTGGTCTGAGTTTTAGGTATAATTTTGGAAATCATAAGCAGTAGGTGGTGGTTAAGGTCCTAGATATGGATGAGATTATTCGGGAAATATAGAGGGTTTGGAAGTTCTCAATGCCAATTACAGACTCTACAGACAGCAACATTTAAGGGCGTAGGTAAAGTGGAACCTGCAAAAAAAGTTTGGAGATAAACCATAGAAGTAGGGAGAAAATCGTTTTGGAGGGAGTTGATAGTCAGCAGAGCTGCATGCTCCAGATGGGACAAATAAGGTCCAAACTGAAAATACTCAATTATTAAAAGAGCAAAATATACCTTAAGGTGAGCAGTTTCAGTAGAGTTCAGAAGTGAGAAGATAAGAGGAAGCATAAATAAGCAAGTGTAAACTGCTCTTTAAAGAAGCCCAACTGGAAGGGACAAGAGTGGGGAAAGGTAGCTAAAGTGAAGCATGGTTTATGTAACTTTACTGCTTAAAATCTGCGGTGATTTCCAGTTGCTTGTAATGTAAAATTCAGATCCTTTCTATGTTGCACAAGACCACGTAACCCGCCTCTCCGTATCATTCTTTTCCATTAGCTTCTATTCCTTGAAATTGTGTGCTCATTCCACACCCCCTAGCCTTTGGACTTTATAAAGGGAGCACTCTTTACCTTCACACAGCTTATTTCTTTTCTTTTTGCATAAATGCCTCTTGCTCATCCCTTAAGTCTCACTTCTTGAAGGAGGTCTTTCCAACCCACTCATGCAGGATATGAATCCCTATTAGCTACTGCTGTGGCCCCACAACTTCTCCTTATAACAGGGCATTGGGTATAATGTAGTATTCGATTTTTCAGGGAACACAATTTGCATTAAGCAAAGTGCATGCATGGGGAAAAGCGTGTTTATGTGTACTTTCTGCTTTGTATATCACAATAGTTAGTGATACTATGTTAATGTGCTTATTTGGTAGTGGTAATTGGACTAGGAAAAGAACAGCTTTACTCCTGAGCAAAAAACTATAACAAAAAGCTGGACTTGAATTTCTTGCAGGAAAAATAAATTTGTTACTTTGAATCTGAAATTCTGGCCCATTACTCCTATTTATCTTTTAAACAGCTACTTTCATTAACATAACTTGATAATAGGTTTCCTAGGAATGTGCTATTGAGTTGGAGCAGAACACTCTACCTCATCAGAGCTGCTTGCAGGCACTATCAAAGCTTTGAACAGAATCAGGCATTTAATAGACACTTGTTATTTGTTGAATGGATTTTTACTAGAGAAGGGTGGCATGATATATTTGTGGGGGAGGGAGGGAAGGAAGCCTTAGAGGAGTTGGAGGCTGAAATAGAAAATATGATTTACTGGAGCCAGAAACCTTGTAAGGCAGGAGCTGATGGGATCAAAAGCACACAAGTAGAAGAATTGGCCTTGAAGGATCACCACAGGCAGAAGTGAGAGTGTTTGAAAAATCTAATTTGTCTGATTGATAGCTAATAACATTAATGCAGTTTGAGGTTAAATACGGGTCTTTTTCATGAATTTTTTTGTGTTTTTTTTGGTGGGGGGTGTGGTTCCTTCAAGTTACTGCTGATTGCTATTTGAATAAGGCTCAGGCATGAGATGATCAAAGGAGTGAAGTTTTATCAGCCTGTAGACCATAAGGAAATGGCAGAAACTAAGTCATAGAATAATGTTTCTGGTGAGCGACCACCACTTTCTAGGCAAACATTTGGTCAAGGGATTGGGAACTTATAACTCTAATAAAGAAAAATGATTCTTGGGCCTCCCTGGTGGCACAAGGGATTAAGACGCAAACTATGAAGCTATCCGCAGTTTCTGCAGCGTGAATTTGATCCCTAGCCAGGGAGCTACCCACATGGTACAGCAGACCTCTCCTGACTCGTCCACTGCTCCCCTCAGTGGTATATTTCAGTCAGTCTGCCTGTTCCTCCACTTTGTTTCTGGTGAATCCTCTCACCCCCCGCACCTCTGGCTTGTACTCCAGTTTTTGTATGCATAAATCTTTTTTTTAAAAAAAGAAAAATGATTCTTTATTAGAAAATCATAGTTCAGATATCAGAGTAAGAGCATTCTTGACTAGCTGATTTACCATTAAAATCAGCTAATTTTTAGAAGCCATTGAAGTAAACACTCTTCTCACACCTGCAGTGGGCAGCTTAAGTAGGGTATATCAAAGCTGTCTTAAAACACTTTACAGTTTACCACACATTCTCCTTTGTGTAATTTAATTTTAGCATTCAGTGCTTTTATATGGTTTTCCATAGGCTCTTGACC